TCAGTCCTACAGAGCTCAGGAACGGTCCCAGCCAGCTGAGGACACCTGCCACTGTGACTTATTCAAAGGCCGAGGGGACGGCCTGTTGGAAAAGGGGGCTTGATCCCTTTCTTGTTCTGTGCCAGCAGCAAATCGAGATTTCCCCATGGCTCCAGCTGCTGTTCCACTGTCGGGAAGTGAGGAGAGTTGGATAAATAAGAACGAGGATGATATGAAAACTCAGGAATGCACACGCCTCCTTTAGATCTCAGGAAACAAGAGAGCAGGATGCCCGGGGCTGGGATGGGTTGTTGCTTGATCCTGGATCGGTGCCCTTCAGCAATAACATGACCATCACAATCAGAGGGGATGAGGCCCATGGTGAGGACTCATCTCACCACATTATTAGAGCCCGGGGGGGGGGGGGGGGCTGAGGTCTGGCGCAGCATCTGCAATGCCAGCATGGGCAAGGCCTGCATGTGAGCGCAGAGAAACAGGTGTGCCAAGCGTACTTGATGTTGAAAGAGCTAATCTGACACAGTGAGACCTGGCTGCTGCTTTGATAGCTTCACTTCCAGGGCTTTGCCCTGTTGGGAGCAGCGACTGGCTATGCCAATGTAAAAACCAGCTGTGCCAACCAGCCTGCTACTTAACTCTGTGCCACCCCTTTGCCATCAGGCTCTTCCCTTCACAGCATGACGAGCACCGACGTTGGGCATGACCCGTTGGACAGGGAGCCCAGGGCAGAGATCACACCTAGCCGCTGTGCAAATGAGTTGAAGTAAGAGAGCTCAGCTTGTCTTTATATCCAGTTGCGTTCTGGGCATGTCAGGTAGTGACGACAGCAACGGCTGGCGCATGAATGGCAGAGGAAACTGGCGTGCGAGAAATTGCTACTCAGGGAAGACATCAGGTCGCAGCTTGTCCGTCTATTCCCCCATCCCCAGCCAGGGCGGGAGCAATGGGCTCGTCTGGGTTTTCTCCTCTCTATGATGGCAGAACCTACAGGCCCCAAAAGAGATCAGGGCCCTGTGGTTCTGGGTGCCGAACAAACGGCTAAAGAGACAGTCCCTGCCCTCTCAGTCGGAATAGGAAAGTCGGGCAAAGGGAAGTAGGCACAGAGAGGAAACGGGGGTCGGTCAAGTGGCAGAGCTGGGAAGACAAACTGCCTCTCTGGCTGCCCACTCTTGTGCCCGCGGCCACTAGACCATATTGCCATTACAGTCCAAGCCCCTCTTCCCCTGGGAGGCCCATACATCAGCTGGTGGGTAGCAGCTGACTCCAAGTTCTGCCCCCTGACTCCAAGTTGCCTGTCCAAAAGCAGGGGTGGCAAGAGCAGCAGTTCTGGGCACCGTGTACCCCATTCCTTTCATGGGGGGGGAAGTGGGAAAACCAGTCTCCTCTCTTACACCACGCCTGAGGAGGAGCCCGCCTGTGCACAGCGGCAGGGGGCCAGATCCAGTCGCACAGGGAACAGATCAACGGGAACTCTGTTGACATCCTCTGGGCTTTGCCCATTTGAGAGCAGAATCCAGCCCCGAACAGGCTGTCAAGGAGACCCGAGGGTATTTGGGCACCCTACGATCCATGCAGCCGTGAGTAACCCAGCGCCGTGAGTAACTGCAGATCATGCAGCTCTAGGAGGTCATGACTTGAGTTTGCCAGCTGTGTTTCTCCAGATGTTCCATTTCCCCCCTCCCCGCCGGAAGCAAAAGGAAAGCTCGAAAACCTGATCCAAGGGCAACTGATGCCTGCCTGAGGGCTTGTCTACACGTGAAAGGTTACAACAGCATAGCTTCAGTGTAGACATTACCTATGCCAACAGAAGGGGTTCTCCCTTTGGCCTAGGTAATCCACCTCCCCGAGAGGTGATAGCTAGGTCACTGGAAGAATTCTTCCATCAACCTAGCGCTGTCTTCACAGGGACTTAGGTCGATTTAACTACACCACTCAGGAGTGTGGATTTTTCACATCCGAGTGATGTGGTAATGCCGAACTAATTTTCTAGTGTAGACCAGGCTCCACAAACCAGCTTGCCTCTTGCTTGCCTGAGTCTGCAGAGAGCCTGAAACAATGGCTCCAGGAAGCGTGAATTGCCTCACTTGTCTTAATGCTGAAACCCACCTCCATGAAGAGGGGTACAGCCACAGCTTGGGGGCAGGGCTGTGAGGGACTCCATGAAGGAGATGGCTAGGGCCCCAGAGTGCCTTAATTTGACCCTGACAGCAGGACCTTGCCCAAGGGCAATTGGGACCAAAGCAACAACCTCAGAAAGACCAATAAAAGTCACTCCTGTTTCTGCTTCTCCGTGGCATGGTGAAAGAGTCAAGAGCTCAGGTTGCTGTTGGACAGCCGGTTCGAGCGGGGAAGCACATTGTCTCGGGGCCGGACTAGTAAGACTTCAGGGCAGCCGGCAATCTTTCAGCTCTGCAAACAACAAAACCAGCATTGTGGGTTTAAACGGAAAAGCATCCACCTGGTGAGGATCCAGTGCTCTGGGCCCCAATTCTCCCCTGGTGGAGTCGTTTCCATCAGTGCAAGGTGGGGGGGACACCATGGCTTGTCCAACGGGAATAGCTATTGTGCTTTACATTCACACCTCCCTTAATCCACGTCCACTTTCCAGTGTAGACACTGCTAAACCAGAATGAGAAAAACTCACCCCACTTTTGCACGGGTGTAAGAGCTGCCCAAGCTACAGTGGAGAATTTGGCCTTTTGTAACAGGCTGCAGGCTTCGTTACAAGGCCAACGATGTTGGGGGCCCAACTTGACAGCCATTGGCCTGATTTCCCAAAGGGTTAATTCCCCCACTCCAACAACTTGCCCCTTCCCACAGCGCTGACTTAGTGGCCAACCACCCCACCCCACCAAGCCCCCAAACGCCAACAGCGACAACCTGCCAGGGTGCTGGCCACGCTGCGTGGCTTTCCACGTGTATGTCGTCTCCACTCCAAGCCGGGCCCATCTCTCTTCAAGGCTGCAGTCCCCTTCCGCTTCCCCATTCAAAGCCAGAAAAATGCATCTGAAACCATGACCCAGAGTGAGCAGCCCACAGCCACTTGACATGAAGAGGCGCGGGGAGCCGTGCTGAGGCCAGGCAGCGAGTCCTTCTCAGCGCACCGGCATTCTCCCCAGGCACAACAGAAAGCATTTCTACTTGATGGTCCATTACTGGTGCTCTCAGTCAGAGCCCACTCCGTTCCCCGCCTTCCATTAAGGGACATTTCTTAACTTCTACCCTTTCGGGTGCGCTGGGGAGTTTGCAGCTGGCTTGCTGGCAGCACAGCTCCAGAGATCCTTGCTCTGCTCCTTAGCAGTGCAGCCTCTATTGGCAGCCCCCCGGCATCTCTCTGGGGCCGGGAACCCCGCAAACCAGGTGCTGGGTTGCTTCTCAGCCAGGCACCTGATGCAAGGGGTGGTGGCCCAGGGGTGCAGCCCACTGGGACCACATTCGGGAAGCGCCAGGCCAGGCAGAGCCAACCGGGGACACTTCCCTCTCGTGGCTACGCTCCGTGACCTTCCGAGCTGCAATCAGTGACTGCCCCTTTCACTGGGCAGCTGATAATTCCCCCCTGCCCCTTCCAGAGCAAAGGCCCCTCACCCTAGCCCCAGAAGATCTGCATGGGCTTAAGTGCTTCCAGGCCATGGTTTTCCCTGCATGAGGCAACAGCTCGCTCAGTTTCTGTATTTATCAGGCTGATTGTTGGAAGGCTCCTGGCTGGGAAGTTCCAGGCTCCACCCCCGACCCACCCTGCCTGGCCCACCTTCCCAGCCAGATCCTTGGGAATTACCCAACTTGCAACACAGGAAGCTACGCTCATTGCGCAGGCAAAACAATGGAATTCACCCCCTTAGGGACTGCAACCGAGCCCTCCTCCCCCAAAACAGGGTCCTGCAGCCCATGGCTGGAGAGACCAAAGCTGCAGCCATGGCGGGAGTCAGTGCCTAGCAACCAGGACTGGCATGATGCTCCAGGGCAGGCAAAAGGGGAGACGGGATCAGCCAGCAGGGAGGTGAAGCACAGACAGACTGGACAAAGTACTGGTTCTGGGGAGGGGAGGAGAAAGAAGTAGCCGGTACCACCCTTCGGGCATGCATGGGGAAGATCCACAATACAAGAGTTGGATTGTTACAAGGTTTAATGGCCCTTTAAAAGCAGGTGAGCTCAGCCCCACCCAGGCTGCGTTATCCCACCCAGGTGATGGACCAGGCCCTGCAGCTGGTCCATCACTCCCTAGTAGCTTGGGGAATGGGACCTCCGACTCCACCAGCGTGGGCAAATGTAGGGGGCGGCTCTCTGGGGAAGACCTCAGGGAAGACCCACTTGCTGGACCCTTTGTGGAACTGTGTTGTTTTAAGCCTGTGTGGGTAGGGTGTACATCTGACCTGCACCAGTGACGGGGACAATTAGAAAACCCCAGGAGTGTGGAAACTGAGGCCCGGTCACAGGTTCAGCTGGTGGTAATAGCAGGGCCTACGCTGAGGGCAGGAGGCACCCCTGCTAGGGGCTGTACACACATAACAAAGACAGTCCTCGCCCCAAAGAGCCTCGTCTGAGCAAGAGGAGGCCTAAGTGGGCTTCTCCATCTCCACAGCAGTTGGCTGTGCTAGGAGCCCCTGGTGGATTAAGCTCGTGTCCCCACCCTGTTTCTCATAGAAACTGTCCCTCCCGCAGCGCCCTGGCAGGGCTCAGGAGACACCCACATGGCTCCCCACAGTCTCACCTGGCAGGAGACTAAAGGCAGCAAATCACCATTAGCACTCGCCCAGGATGGTTCCCCTCGCCCACTGGCTGGGCTGGAGGGGAGATGCCCAGAGGGAGTCCTGGCTGGGAACAGACAGGGCAGCCGCACCACATCAGGTGGTTCAAGGAGCAGCCAGGTTGCAGGACGGGAACAGGGTGAGCCCACAGGGTTGACACCTAGTGCCACTTCCAAGCCCCTCTTTACCACTAGATCCCTGGCAGGAGCCGGGACACCATCCAACCGCCCCACAGCGACCCACAGAGAGTCCGGCCGGGACTGTGAGCTCAAGCTTTATTCAGAAATCGAGTGTGAGTGAAGCTGCAGCCCGCCCCTGACTGGCAGAGTCTCAGAGGTAAAAGCAACGGTGCCAGGAGCTCATGGGCACCAGCAGGCAGAGCCCAAGGGGATGCTTGGGACACTCCTTATGCGTTTCTCGTTAGGAGAGGAGCCAGCTTCTCCGTATTCAAGACATCAAGGGCTCCCGTGAGCTTCATGCTCCAGGCCAAGCAATCAGCCCGTCTGCCCCAACAGCACCAGGGGAGGGGGAAGAGGTCTCCCTGGAACACTGCACAGGCACGGTCCATGATGATTTGTCTCTCGGGTCCACAGTCACGTATCTGGAGCCCCCTGGAACTGCTCTGTGCCTGGAACCCCCTGCAGGGCTTCATCCTCGATGCGCCGGAAGACAGCAGGGAAGGTCTTGCCACTGTTCCGTTGGACCTTCTTTCCCTCCTCGGTGGAGGTGCCCAGACGCCCCACGATGGGATCGCTGCCCTGTTGGAGAAAGGGCTGTTACCGCGTGAGCTGCCGACCGGCCAATGCCTCCCCTTCCCCATCGGCCTGGCTCGTCTCCAGCGTAACGGGCACGCAGACCGGCAGCCCCCTGTCCCTGCAGGGAAATTAGACCCAAGCAGGCATCAAACCATGTGAGCCAACGGCAACCGGCCCTGCTTGGCTCTGTGTTGGGGGCAGCTGGTCCATCCACCAGCCAAGCGGCAACAGGGGAAGCTGGCTGGGTCCTGAAATCCAGCGTCTCCTACTCAAGTCCATCGCTGGGGGCTCCCTAGCAACAGGACAGATGCGGGGGGGGGGTGGCTCCCTAGCAACAGCACACACCCTCCCCTCAACTCAACCATGCAATAAGCAGCCAGCGTGCGAACGTGAAAAGAGAGAAGAGGTTTTGGTGTGGGACCAGGTTTCACTTTCCAGCTTCTGTGGGCTTCTTGGAAACCCCAGGACAAGGGAAGAAACTTTTGCAGATTGAGTCAGCCCAGGATGGGTGCAAGGCCCCCGGGTAGTGCAAACATTCCCCTTTCGGGTTCCTTCCCCTCCCAGCACCCGCTACTTTCGCTCTTACCAAGTCCTCCAAGGGCACCTGGACAAAGAGCGGGTGCCCACTGAAGTGCCCGACCATCCACTCGTGCATCTCTTCCACATCAGTGATGGTATACACCAGGCCCTGCACAAGAGGGAGGGAGTAGCCTGAGGATCCACGTAGCTGGGACCAGCCCATAAAGAGAGGATGTGGAGGGGCCACTGGATACCTATGCAGGGACACCTATGGCCCCATCCCAGCCATGCGGCAGTAAAACCCAAGAACCCAAATGGCTCATGCCATAGAAGGAAACTTTCCGCAACTACCAAAACCTCAGGGCCCTGGATGGGAAGGAGGGTAATCTCTGTACAGAGCAGCTTGTGGTCAAGGGACTTGCTCCCTAACTATTAGAGGTGCCAACTCTAATTAGCCAAGGCAATTATGCTCTCCGCCTCTGCTCCCGCCCCCCCCGCCCCCCGGTTGCCAATTTTGGTGGGACATATTCCTGGATGTTTCATCATACGACATCATCTTCACTTAAAGATCCATCTTTCATTTCTAGAGACTCCAGGACAATCATTGAGGTTTGGCAACCATAGCCCTGCCCCCGGGGTCTGCACCATGGGGAGATGTTAGCGTATTTGCCTGTTACTCACGCAGCCGGGCTGGGTGGGGCCCACGTCTATTCATCGCCCCAGTTTGATCTGCTGGTTACGAACCCACAGTGACGGCACAGGGAGGAGCAGACGGGTTGCCTGAGGCAGCTAAGTCATGAACGGGCAGGTGGGAGCTGCTGAGGGCGGGCAATGGGCTCACTCTGCCAACAGGAAGCCCTCCCAGCACAGCTCTGCAGGAAGCAGGGCAAAGGCCAACCCCTCCGTGCTGGGACCCATGCAGTAAGTGGGGCTTACTCACCATGCCCTTGGGGCACTGCTGGGTTTGACCTACAGAGTTGGTTGAGGACAGAATGTTCCTGCCTGCTGAGCCGTGGCTAAGTCCCCAGCCAGAGAGGCTTCCCCTAACCAGAGATCCCACGAAAGCCTCCGCCCGCCCCCCGGCCAGCGACCGATCCCAACTCACCCCGATGCGCAGGACGTAGGCGTATTCGGCCAGCAGCGTAGAGCTGATGATCCGCCACTTGTGCTTAGTCTTCTTGAAGTGCGGGTCCGGGAAGAGGAAGAACATCTTGGCCAGCTGCAAACATAGGGGGCAAACCCGGGAGGGTGGAGATGGTGAGCCCTACAAGTCTCCGTAGCCAGCAGCGCCAATGCCTCCCACTGAGTTACAGCTTGTTTAAAGCACATTCAGGGTTGGGGTTTCCTCTTTTCAAGTGGGAAACTAAAGAACCTTTCGTTCAAGAGCGACTTTCCTTCAAATGGGAATAGACGAAGGGGTCCCCAGACACCACGGTGATGGGGCTCTTACTGAAGCTTATAGATCATCTTCCCAGGATTTGAGAGGTGGGGAGTGAGGGCTGCATGCTCCCCAAGGATGGCAAGGATTGAAAGCGGGAGGTTATATGACTGCCTGGGACATCAATGGCGGAGCCTCAAGGCCCCTGGCACCTCACCTGCCCCTTGTGGAAGAAGTTGGGCAGGTGTTTCATGGCATTGCTGCGGACACAGGCGATGTTCTGGTACTGCCCGGGATGGGATGCTCTCAGAGACTGGATCCGGTCACGGACGTAATCCGAGACCTTCACTCGAATCTCCAGGCCCAGCATTAAGGTGTTGGGGAAGAGGGGAGACAACTCGACTGTAAAAGATGAAAGAGGAACTACCATCTGCTCTCAGAGCCGGAGAATCCCAGACAGAGGCAACCGTTCAGAACAATAAACCCCAGAGCGGCTACCTGCCTCCCAAGACGGGAGCTAGGGTATCAGACAGGTCATTCCCACTTGCCTGGGGAGAGGCAGCGGCAGCAGCCTGGGGCTGAGAGCAACAACTTGCCACCTTTCAGGATTGCAACCCTTGCTCATCACAGCATGTTAAACTTAACCAGAGCAGCACAGTTATGGATACAGCGGCTTCTGCGCCACAGAATCTATAGGGACACCAGGGTGAGACAGCCCATGTCACCAGCTCTCCCTGATCCACACGACCGACAGTGCAACCGGTTTCCGATTTCCCACATCAAGTCTGGGTTCTGCGCAGAACAAACCAAGGAGCTAGTTCCACTGGCGAGTCAGCGCTAGACCTCAGCTAAGCATGCATAGTTCCACACCACGTACTCTGGGATACGTAGCTGTCAACAGAGAGAGACTTACCCGAGATGTGAAGTCAGGCATGGACCCGAATCTGGAGAAGGAAGAGGCTTCAAGGAGCAAACCCGCACCCCTCTCAGGGCTGTCCCTCCAAGGCAGCCTTGAGCCCACCTAGAACCTGCTGCGTCCAGACCGACGGAAAAGCATCCCTGGGAACTTACCCAACAAGCCCCCATAACCGCAGCCAATATCAGCAAATTCAACTTGCGCCGCTGGCTTCACTCTCTCCTCGGAGTCCTTCGGGTCATCGTGACGGTCATCTTTGGTCAACGGGGCGAAGAACTCAGGATAGTGCTCAGCCCAGTTCATTTCCTCAGGTTTTGTGGGACTAAAAGAGAGGAACAGGGACAAAGCTGGATTAAAAGAGAGAATAGGAAAGCAGCTATTCGATTAGTGGGGAGATTTAAGCTGTACAATAACTTCCCAATGGGCTAAAAATATGTCCTGCTTGGACCATTTCAAGCTGGACAAACACCAAAGATTTCAGGGACCAATCCTGCCCCCAGGGAATGAATCAGGTGGAGCTAATCTAACTTGGCATTAAATGGTGTTTCTCCACCCAACTGTCCCAATTCCTCTCTCACTTGTGAGCTCTTTGGGCAGGAACTATCTCTTCCCCTGCAACCTGACAACACATCAAAGAGGAGCTTCAGGAAGTAACAAATCTACAGTGTTTTCTTAAACACTCTGAAAAATGTATGTAAATATACTAACACCTGGACATCACCAGCAACCTCTTAGGAGTCCTCCCAAGTAGGCTTTAAATGCATGTTGTTGGAACAAGAGAGTCAATAAAGCCATGTCAAGTCAACACTTGGAAAGCTTTGCCCTAGAAGCAAATATTGCTTTTATGGGCAAAACTGCCCTTTTGCTGATAGAGCTTGTTTCAACGTCCCCGAGCAAGACAAGCCATACCGATAAAAGCAGGATTTTGTCTGTCTAACGACATTCAGGCTTTTACTGGACTGTCGGTCATGAATCACAGCTCCTCACACCCCTTAACAGACACACTGTGCTGGCACGAGCTTGGGTCGGGTAGACCTAGCCTCAGGGTAACCTTTTAAACACATGCTAGCCTAGGTGCAACTTCAGCTCCACCAGCGAGTACCTGACGGGAACATTCCCTGTCTACGCAGATTTATAAAAAGTCAGCTAACGCATTCTTGCACATCCTAGTCCAGACAAACCCAGCTGGGTTACGCCACTTGCACTCTGGCAAACACTTCATGCCGGCTGAAAGACGCATGGATTTGGAAGGTTTCAGAGTAGCAGCCGTGTTAATCTGTATTCGCAAAAAGAAAAGAAGGACTTGTATCTGATGAAGTGAGCTGTAGCTCATGAAAGCTTATGCTCAAATAAACTGGTTAGTCTCTAAGGTGCCACAAGTCCTCCTTTTCTTTTTATGGATTTGGAAGCAGCTCATCTCTTCTCTCCCATTTAATATTTATTTTGGTCCCTTTGGGAGCTGGGACAGAAAGATTAGTTCCCCAGGGATGGGGGGCGCTGCTTGGATACACAAAGGGTTCAAGGTGAGGGGGTTCTCCCCTGGCTCCGGGGATCTCCCACGGGGGGGGGGGGGATCACGAGGGCTCCTACAGAGGAAGAGAGTTCAGGACGCCCGCCTCAGGATGAGGAAGGGTAAGATCAGGGGCTTCCCCCAGGGCACAGTGAATACAGGATCAGGGGACCCCAAAATGGGAAGGGGGAGCACGATGAATGGGGCTCCCCAGGGCATATAGGGTTCAATGGGGCAGGAGATCGGGGGCTCCCGGGATGGGGGTGAGGGCTCAACGTATGAGGGTTAAGGGACTTGGGAGGCTCCCCAGGGCATATGGGGTTCAATGGGGCAGGAGGCTCCCAGGATGCAGGGGAAGGCTCGATGCATGGGGGTCAGGGGGCTTGGGGGGCTCCCCAGGGCATATGGGGCTCAATGGGGCGGGAGGTCAGGGGGCCCCCGGGATGGGGGCGAGGGCTCGATGGATGGGGGTCAGGGGGCTTGGGGGGTCTCAGGACCTCCCCCCCACTCACTAGCGCAGCGTGTGGTCCGCCAGGGGGTTGGAGTGAGCCCGCTGCCGGTAGAAGCGTTTCTGGGGCGGGGCCCCCGCCATGGCGCCGCCGGGACCCCGCGCCAGGCCCGCGACCCACGTGGAGCCGGCGCGGCCACAGCTGGAGTCGCGGGAACCAAACGTCACAGGAAACGCGCCAGCACCAGCGCGCGCGCGCCTGCTTTAAAGGGCCCGGCCCAGCCTCGCCCCCGCCCAGCCGGGCCTTGGCCACGCGGGCCGGTGTCACCTGACGTCTCCCCCGCCCCGCCCACTGACCCCCAACCCCGCCCCTCTGAGCCCCAGCTCCACCCACTGACCCCATCCCCCATCCTACTGACCCCAGCCTCCACCCCAGCCCCGCCCACTGACCCCCAACCCCGCCCCTCTGAGCCCCAGCTCCACCCACTGACCCCAACCCCCATCCTACTGACCCCAGCCTCCACCCCAGCCCCGCCCACTGACCCCAACCCCCATCCTACTGACCCCCAGCCCCACCCCAGCCCCGCCCACTGACCCCATCCCCCATCCTACTGACCCCCAGCCCCACCCCCAGCCCCGCCCACTGACCCCAACCCCCATCCTACTGACCCCAGCCTCCACCCCAGCCCCGCCCACTGACCCCCACCCCCATCCTACTGACCCCCAGCCCCACCCCAGCCCCGCCCACTGACCACCCCCAACCCCCATCCTACTGACCCCAGCCTCCACCCCAGCCCCGCCCACTGACCCCCAACCCCCATCCCACTGACCCCCAGCCTCCACCCCAGCCCCGCCCACTGACCCCAACCCCCATCCTACTGACCCCCAGCCCCACCCCAGCCCCGCCCACTGACCCCAACCCCCATCCTACTGACCCCAGCCCCACCCCAGCCCCGCCCACTGACCCCAACCCCCATCCTACTGACCCCAGCCTCCACCCCAGCCCCGCCCACTGACCCCAACCCCCATCCTACTGACCCCCAGCCCCACCCCAGCCCCGCCCACTGACCCCATCCCCCATCCTACTGACCCCAGCCTCCACCCCAGCCCCGCCCACTGACCCCAACCCCCATCCTACTGACCCCCAGCCTCCACCCCAGCCCCGCCCACTGACCCCCAACCCCCATCCTACTGACCCCAGCCTCCACCCCAGCCCCGCCCACTGACCCCAACCCCCATCCTACTGACCCCCAGCCCCACCCCCAGCCCCGCCCACTGACCCCAACCCCCATCCTACTGACCCCAGCCTCCACCCCAGCCCCGCCCACTGACCCCCACCCCCATCCTACTGACCCCCAGCCCCACCCCAGCCCCGCCCACTGACCCCCACCCCCATCCTACTGACCCCAGCCTCCACCCCAGCCCCGCCCACTGACCCCCAACCCCATCCTACTGACCCCCAGCCCCACCCCAGCCCCGCCCACTGACCCCCACCCCCCATCCCACTGACCCCCCCCCCCCCCCCCACCCCCACTCCTACTACCCCAGCCTCCACCCCAGCCCCGCCCACTGACCCCCAACCCCCATCGCACTGACCCCCAGCCTCCACCCCAGCCCCGCCCACTGACCCCAACCCCCATCCTACTGACCCCAGCCTCCACCCCAGCCCCGCCCACTGACCCCAACCCCCATCCTACTGACCCCAGCCTCCACCCCAGCCCCGCCCACTGACCCCCAACCCCCATCGCACTGACCCCCAGCCTCCACCCCAGCCCCGCCCACTGACCCCAACCCCCATCCTACTGACCCCAGCCTCCACCCCAGCCCCGCCCACTGACCCCAACCCCCATCCTACTGACCCCAGCCTCCACCCCAGCCCCGCCCACTGACCCCAACCCCCATCCTACTGACCCCCAGCCCCACCCCAGCCCCGCCCACTGACCCCCAACCCCCATCCTACTGACCCCCAGCCTCCACCCCAGCCCCGCCCACTGACCCCCAACCCCCATCCTACTGACCCCAGCCTCCACCCCAGCCCCGCCCACTGACCCCAACCTCCATCCTACTGACCCCAGCCTCCACCCCAGCCCCGCCCACTGACCCCAACCCCCATCCTACTGACCCCAGCCTCCACCCCAGCCCCGCCCACTGACCCCAACCCCCCATCCTACTGACCCCAGCCTCCACCCCAGCCCCGCCCACTGACCCCAACCCCCATCCTACTGACCCCAGCCTCCACCCCAGCCCCGCCCACTGACCCCCAACCCCCATCCTACTGACCCCAGCCTCCACCCCAGCCCCGCCCACTGACCCCATCCCCCATCCTACTGACCCCCAGCCTCCACCCCAGCCCCGCCCACTGACCCCAACCCCCATCCTACTGACCCCCAGCCTCCACCCCAGCCCCGCCCACTGACCCCAACCCCCATCCTACTGACCCCCAGCCCCACCCCAGCCCCGCCCACTGACCCCAACCCCCATCCTACTGACCCCCAGCCCCACCCCAGCCCCGCCCACTGACCCCATCCCCCATCCTACTGACCCCAGCCTCCACCCCAGCCCCGCCCACTGACCCCAACCCCCATCCTACTGACCCCAGCCTCCACCCCAGCCCCGCCCACTGACCCCCAACCCCCATCCTACTGACCCCCAGCCCCACCCCAGCCCCCGCCCACTGACCCCAACCCCCATCCTACTCACCCCAGCCTCCACCCCAGCCCCGCCCACTGACCCCAACCCCCATCCTACTGACCCCCAGCCTCCACCCCAGCCCCGCCCACTGACCCCCAACCCCCATCCTACTGACCCCAGCCTCCACCCCAGCCCCGCCCACTGACCCCAACCCCCATCCTACTGACCCCAGCCTCCACCCCAGCCCCGCCCACTGACCCCAACCCCCATCCTACTGACCCCAGCCTCCACCCCAGCCCCGCCCACTGACCCCATCCCCCATCCTACTGACCCCCAGCCTCCACCCCAGCCCCGCCCACTGACCCCAACCCCCATCCTACTGACCCCCAGCCTCCACCCCAGCCCCGCCCACTGACCCCATCCCCCATCCTACTGACCCCAGCCTCCACCCCAGCCCCGCCCACTGACCCCATCCCCCATCCTACTGACCCCCAGCTTCCACCCCAGCCCCGCCCACTGACCCCATCCCCCATCCTACTGACCCCAGCCTCCACCCCAGCCCCGCCCACTGACCCCATCCCCCATCCTACTGACCCCCAGCCCCACCCCAGCCCCGCCCACTGACCCCATCCCCCATCCTACTGACCCCCAGCCCCACCCCAGCCCCGCCCACTGACCCCATCCCCCATCCTACTGACCCCAGCCTCCACCCCAGCCCCCGCCCACTGACCCCAACCCCCCATCCTACTGACCCCAGCCTCCACCCCAGCCCCGCCCACTGACCCCAACCCCCATCCTACTGACCCCAGCCTCCATCCCAGCCCCGCCCACTGACCCCCAACCCCCATCGCACTGACCCCAGCCTCCACCCCAGCCCCGCCCACTGACCCCCACCCCCATCCTACTGACCCCAGCCTCCACCCCAGCCCCGCCCACTGACCCCATCCCCCATCCTACTGACCCCAGCCTCCACCCCAGCCCCGCCCACTGACCCCAACCCCCATCCTACTGACCCCCAGCCCCACCCCAGCCCCGCCCACTGACCCCAACCCCCATCCTACTGACCCCCAGCCCCACCCCAGCCCCGCCCACTGACCCCATCCCCCATCCTACTGACCCCAGCCTCCACCCCAGCCCCGCCCACTGACCCCAACCCCCATCCTACTGACCCCAGCCTCCACCCCAGCCCCGCCCACTGACCCCCAACCCCCATCCTACTGACCCCCAGCCCCACCCCAGCCCCGCCCACTGACCCCAACCCCCATCCTACTGACCCCCAGCCTCCACCCCAGCCCCGCCCACTGACCCCAACCCCCATCCTACTGACCCCCAGCCTCCACCCCAGCCCCGCCCACTGACCCCAACCCCCATCCTACTGACCCCCAGCCCCACCCCAGCCCCGCCCACTGACCCGAACCCCCATCCTACTGACCCCAGCCTCCACCCCAGCCCCGCCCACTGACCCCAACCCCCATCCTACTGACCCCCAGCCCCACCCCAGCCCCGCCCACTGACCCGAGCCCCCAACCTCCATCGCACTGACCCCCAGCCCCACCCCAGCCCCGCCCACTGACCCCAACCCCCATCCTACTGACCCCCAGCCCCACCCCAGCCCCGCCCACTGACCCCAACCCCCATCCTACTGACCCCCAGCCCCACCCCAGCCCCGCCCACTGACCCCCAACCCCCATCGCACTGACCCCCAGCCTCCACCCCAGCCCCGCCCACTGACCCGAACCCCCATCCCACTGACCCCCAGCCCCGCCCACTGACCCCCAACCCCCATCGCACTGACCCCCAGCCTCCACCCCAGCCCCGCCCACTGACCCCAACCCCCATCCTACTGACCCCCAGCCTCCACCCCAGCCCCACCCACTGACCCCCCAACCCCCATACTACTGACCCCCAGCCTTCACCCCAGCCCCGCCCACTGACCCCCCCAACCCCCATCCTACTGACCCCCAGCCTCCACCCCAGCCCCACCCACTGACCCCCAACCTCCACCCCACTGACCCCCCCACTGAGCCCCCCAACCTCCATCCCACTGACCCCCAGCCCCAGCCCAGCCCCACCCACTGACCCCTCAACCCCCATCCCACTGACCCCCAGCCTCCACCCCAGCCCCGCCCACTGACCCCCAGCTCCACCCCACTGAGCCCCCCAACCTCCATCCCACTGACCCTCCAACCTCCATCCTACTGACCTCCAACTGCCAGCCCCACTGACTCCCAGCCCAAATCCATTGATCCACCGACCCTCATCCTACTGACCCCAAACCCAGTGAGCCCCCTGACTCTTGAATCACTTGATGGTGACGTGTTCTGTTCATTCCCTCTGGGGCACCTGGCACTGGCTACTGTCAGAAGACAGGATACTGGGTTAGATGGACCTTTGGTCGGACCCAGTATGGCGGTTCTACACTTTAACGTGCCTTGTGTGGTCGCGGCGGGTGTAGCTACACAAGGGGTGCACTGTCTACACTGGCACTTTTTGCTGTGCTCGGGGGGGGGGGTGTTTTTTCACACCCCTGACACAGAAAGTTGTCGCACTGTAACTTGCCGGTGTGGACAAGCCCGTAGCTGCAGCTCCACCGAAGGTAGCAACGGAGGAAGCTGTAGATTCAAGAA